CCCTCCTCACGCCGTACAGTATACAGCATTGCACTGCCTTTCGGCTGTCGCCGCCTCGACTCCGGTTTGCTCGTGCTCGGCCTCGAATGGCTGAAGGACCTCGTCATGTGAGCGGCGTGAACCAGCTCGGGCTTACAGGCAGCTCTAAAATTCGGCGCGCCCCCGAACCACTCACGCGTCGGCGAGCCTGCTGGACGAGACCAACACCAAGACGCGCTTGCTCAAGGGCGTGGCTGAGACTCTGTACCTCCATCCTCCGACCTCTTTTCTTGGATAGCAAAGACTTGTGTTGTCGGTCGATCGATCACAGCGTGTGGATGACCGATCGCTTTGTGTGTAGACGCACCTCGTGCGCCTGAGGTGCCAAGCACCCAAGGTCTTCGTCGGATTCGCCAAGGCCGCACCCGATGCCTTGGCGCCTGGACGCGCTTCGGAGCGGGTCGATTTCGAGTCCAGTTGAATTCAGGCCCGACGAATGCTGTTCTTGCCCGTGGAGCGCGTTTGCACTGCCCGCTCTTGGCTCCCTCGCCTGCATGAGCCTGTTGTCAGTCGTTGGCTTGGCGCTGCTGCTTCGTCGGAGCGCGCACTGTCTAGCACGTGCAGTGGCAGGCGATGAGATCCCGCCCCGATCCGAGTGTGGCTGTACACCGATCCGATGCCGCGGAGCAGCTTGATCAGTTGCGGCCTGTGCACAGGCAAGCAGTGGTTGCTTCGACTTGTCTCATCGCATGAGCCCGCTCTTTGTGGTCCGCATCGTGGCCTTCTGGATGTAGCCAGGAGGTGTCGTTGCTCTGCTAGCAGCCGGGCCATCGGAAAGAGCCACGAAGAAAATGGGCGCGCAAAAAAGATACGCGAGAAAAGGGCACAAAAAATCAACATGAAAATGAGCGACCTGTCTCTGCGCTGGCGACACCAGCAGCCCCAGCCCGACCTCTCCACCGTCAGACTGCGAACGACCGCCTGACGTCTCGAGGACACTGCCGTGCGGTACAGAACAGCCGAAGTCGCCGCGCAAACATGCAAAGACCGCGCGGTCGACGGCAGCGTACTGTTGGTCCACGGCCAATTTCTCCATGACGCCTCGCTGGCAGGGTTCGAAATGCACGTGCATGTCTCGCCCACCTTTATGCAGCGCCGATCCCATGTCGCCTTAGACGAGCGACCCCATTTCCGCGGGACAAAGCGCAGAAGCAGCAACGGAAAACGCTCCTGAAGAGGCAAACGCTACCAGAGCAGCTTCTTCTGAAGCAGCGAACCAGGCGAAGAGCGACGCAATCTCTGCACGGCGGCGATCAACGCCCTCTCGGTACGGATGCGCACAGCGGTGCTTTGCTCGACGCTTCGCATCGGGTCCGCGCGTTGTCACGAAGCCGGACCTTGGCATCGCACAAGCTTCAACATGTCGCGCTCGATCCAGACGGTTCCGATGATGGCCGTGGTGAGCTTCCTGAATGTTTCTGCGTCGTCGTGCTGGTCGGCCAGTTTTTGGAACTGCGACTACGAAGCGCGTCCGACCCACTGCGAGGCCTCGGCCAAACCACGCGTAAAGCCTGTGCCCAGCAGACGCACTACGCCCGGCTCGATTCGGCGCAGCAGGATCTCATCCCGGCAAGACAGGGCCACCATCGGCTCGGAACGCTGCACCCGCCCGTTGTACCCACCAAGCAGGGCAACGCACGAGACCCGAGATATGACGCACTGAACTTACTCGAGGCGGCATTTGCACGGTTGCTGCGTCCCAGCATGAGCCGACGTGGGTTGCGGATCCCACCGCGCCCACATTCTCCGTCTTGAAAGACCGGCGACTCGTGCTGCGGAGCACTAGACAGTCGAGCGCAGCACGACGAGCTCCATATTCCCGAGGACAGGGCGCTGGTCAGGACAGGTTGGATGCAGTCTGCTCTGCAAAGCCTATCGTCGAGGCGCTGGCAGTACGCCAAGCACCACGGAAGGCCGCCCGTCAAGCGTGACGATGAAGTTATGCGTCGGCCCGCCGTCGGTGCGTCGGCATACCCGCTCTTCGTCCCTTCTCTGCCTGCCGCGCTACAGTGCTGCTGTTTCTGCCAACACCAGCTTGGGAGCAAGTGTCGAGGCTCGAAGCTAGTGCCAGCGTCAGGCTTCCACGGCTGCACGCAGAAGGCCAGTATGCGCGGTGATGATTCGGAGTTTCAACCAACCGCTCGGACGTGCTTTGCATCTCGGATTACAGTTGAGCCTTTTGAAAAGCAAACGAATTTGTATTCGAGCACAGCCTGCGTGCGTCAGAAGCACATCGCGATCGCAGATTTTCCCGCCGCACCGCGGCACAGCAGCTGTGACGCTCGCTCGAGGGATGGACAGGAGCAGCAGCGATCGGCGTGCCGGGCGTGCCGCGCGAGTCCAAAGTTTTCGAGGCTCGGCTCTTGCGGCCTGGGGTGCCAAGCTCAACGCTTCAAGTTTGTTCGAAATCTCCGCGTCGGCCTTTGCGTCACACCCACAACCGCGGATCGCCAGCCGTGCCTCACCTTGCCGCCTCGAAGATTTGCGCGGCCCAGCGAGTTGGCGGAGTGCCTTGGCCGATGCAAACCCAACCCCTGAGCTTGGTTTCGCATCGATTTTCTACGCCCTGGAAGCAGTCCATGAGTGAACCTTGGGATTGCGTCTGGTGGGTCGACGACGCCCAGGGCCGAAGCTTGAACTTCTTCAGCCTCAGTCTCGGCTGATCTTGAGCTCTAGATTGCCCAAGGCAAGTAGGGGGAAGGCGCTAGGTGCGCACGTTGCTTGCGAAGCTGGGATTGCTGGGATGCGCTTGGGGGCAGAGGAGGGCGGCGGCGCGCGTGCTGTAGCCGTCCTCTGGCATGCGAAGCCGACGCCCGACCGTTCTGCTGCCTGAGCCTTGGAAAGGGCAAATCCAGTGTGACTTCAAAGAATGTCGAGTGTTTTTCTTCCTTTTTTTTGTTTTCGCCCCGGCCTGTCTCCTGTGGATATCTGCCTGAAAACTCGAGCTTTCGCCCTGCGCAGTGGAGTGAATTTCTCGTCGCGTGTGTGTCTCTCAGGGTGGTCGAAACAAAGACAACTCCTGCGCAGAGCTCGGCGTACGTTACGCTGGCCTGCCCCTTCGCGCGTGCGTGTTTTTTTTCTTGCCCCCCGGCCCCTGAGCGCGCAACCCTGGCATGGACCCGACTTCGAACTTCACACTCTCCCAACGCACGCACGCACGCCTGCACACCCGCGATCTGCGCACCTTTTCGCTGTCACTCTGGGCCTGCAGCCTCGAGCAGCAACGTCCGATGCACTGGCGCACTGCCTCGGCCTCCAACTCTCTCTCGCTCCGTCTCCAGTGCCTGCTGCTGCGCCTCGCTCCGCGCCTCCTCCGAACCGCCTTGGCAGCGAACCGCCCTCTGCTGTTGCCAGCGCTCACCGACCGAGCCTCATCCTGCACACCGCAGCCAGCCGCCAGCCAAGCAGCGATATCGATTCCTTCCCCTCCCTAACCCCGGTCAAGCTCGCCTTTGCCATCTTCTTCTCTCCCACCCCATCATCCTCACCCGTCGTCCCCTTTCTCCATCCCATCTGACCCGGCTCATCCTTCAGCGACAAGGATCCGTTCCGGCAGACAGGTCGATTCGAGGCAGGCGACATCCAAACGAGACGACAAGTGCTCGACTGCATCCTATCCATCGTTGCCGTCAACACCGCTTCCTCTCGCTTGTTCCTCTTCATCTGCCTGGCGCTTCGACATCCAACGACAGTCCGATCGACATCCGCTTGCGGGCCTCGTGTTTTTACGTCGAACGACTACAGCGAAGCAACCCGCTTGTATACAGGCTGCATCGTCTCATCCAACTCAGTCGACCAGCTTCTGTCTTCGGTTCGCATGTCCTTTGACAGGCTTGCATCTCACAAATAACGCAGTCTCTTTCGGTCTCTCGTCTGCACGATCAACGCCCACGTTCTCGCCAGCACAAGCACTCGACAGCGGCGCTTTCGCCACCACTCCCTTCGCCCGGCATGTCGTCCAATCACGGCGCCGGTGGCATTCCACCCCACCATCAGCAGCCGCCCATGAACCCTTTCGCCGGCGCTGCCTTCCACGAGGACCAGGGCAGCGAGTCCGGCTTCTTCCCCACCGAGCGTAGAGACACATACGCCTCGGAACGATCCGATGGCGAACTCATCCCCGGTCACGGCTACGACGCCGATTCGTACGAGGGCGGCGCTTACAAGGACAGCTATGCCTACTCTGCTGAATCCGCTTCGCGTGGCTACACGCCCGGTCCCGGCAGCCAGTTCGGCCAGGGCTCCTACGCCCCCTCGGGCATCTCAAGCCCGCATCCCGACGCTGGCGCCGGCGGATACCGTCAGCGCGAGCCCTACCCGGCTTGGACCGCAGAGCACAACATCCCGCTCTCCAAAGAGGAGATCGAGGACATCTTCATCGACCTCGCCAACAAGTTCGGCTTCCAGCGCGACAACATGCGCAACATGTACGACCACATCATGATCATGCTCGACTCGCGCTCCAGTCGCATGACGCCCCAGCAGGCGCTCATGACGCTCCACGCCGACTACATCGGTGGCGAGCACGCAAACTACCGCAAGTGGTACTTTGCCGCACAGCTCGACCTCGACGACGCCATCGGCAAGGTGCAGAACCCCGGCCTCGCCCGCGCCGCCAGCATGGCCAACCGCGGCCGCAACGCAGGCAGCGCCGCCGCCAAGCTCCAGACGGCTAGCGCCAAGTCGCTCCAATCCGCCTCGGCCCGATGGCGCGACGCCATGCTCAAGATGAGCGACTACGACCGTCTGCGCCAGGTCGCGCTCTACCTCCTCTGCTGGGGCGAAGGTGGCCAGGTGCGATTCGTGCCCGAGTGTCTCTGCTTCATCTTCAAGTGCGCCGACGACTACTACCGCTCGCCAGAGTGCCAGAACCGCATGGAGCCCGTGCCCGAGGGCCTCTACCTCCGCGCCGTCGTCAAGCCGCTCTACCGCTTCCTCCGCGACCAGGTCTTCGAGGTCGTCGACGGCAAGTTCGTCAAGAAGGAGAAGGACCACGACAAGATCATCGGATACGACGACGTCAATCAGCTCTTCTGGTACCCCGAGGGCATCGGCAGGATCATCCTCAACGACAAGACGCGTCTCGTCGACGTGCCTCCGAGCCAGCGCTTCATGAAGTTTGACAAGATCGACTGGCCTCGCGTCTTCTTCAAAACTTACAAGGAGAAGCGATCGTTCTTCCACCTGCTCGTCAACTTCAACCGAATCTGGATCCTGCATATCTCGGTCTTCTTCTACTACACGGCCTACAACGCGCCCAAAATCTACGCCCGCTCGCGAAACCCCACCACCGCCGAGTCGCTCTCGGCCGCTGGTCTCGGTGGTGCCGTGTCGTCGCTCATCATGATTGCTGCCACCATGGCCGAGTTCTCGTACATCCCCACCACGTGGAACAACACGAGCCACCTCATGCGCCGCATGATCTTCCTCGCCATCTGTCTCGCCGTCACCGTCGCTCCTGCCGTCTACGTCTTTGGCTTCAACAACAAGGGCAACATCGCCAACATCATCGCCATCGTCCACCTCGCCTTGGCCGGATGCATCACCGCGCTCTTCTCCATCATCCCCTCGGGCCGCATGTTTGGCGACCGCGTGGCGGGCAAGGCTCGCAAGTACCTGGCCAACCAGACCTTCACCGCCTCGTACGCGCCTCTGGTCAAGAGCCACCGCGCCATCTCGATCCTGCTCTGGGCGCTCGTGTTCGGATGCAAGCTCACCGAGTCGTACTTCTTCCTCACCCTCTCCTTCCGTGATCCTCTGGCCGTCATGATCACCATGAAGGTGCAGGGATGCAGCGACAAGTACTTCGGCACCGCGCTCTGCTCCAACCAGCCGGCGTTTGCGTTGACCTTCATGACCATCATGGATCTCAGTCTCTTCTTCCTCGACACCTTCCTGTGGTACGTCATCTGGAACACCGTCTTCTCCATCGGCTGGTCCTTCCACATGGGTCTCTCCATCTGGACCCCCTGGTCCGACATCTTCCAGCGTCTGCCCAAGCGCATCTACGCCAAGCTGCTCGCCACCGCCGACATGGAGATCAAGTACAAGCCCAAGGTGCTCGTCTCGCAGGTGTGGAACGCCATCATCATCTCGATGTACCGCGAGCATCTGCTCTCCATCGACCACGTTCAGAAGCTGCTCTACCACCAGGTGCCCGCCGGCGAGAACGGCAAGCGCACGCTCCGCGCCCCGACCTTCTTCATCAGCCAGACCGACAAGGGAATCAAGCCCGAGTTCTTCCCCAAGGGCTCCGAGGCCGAGCGCAGGATCAGCTTCTTTGCCCAGTCGCTCACCACCGCGCTTCCCGAGCCGCTGCCCATCGACGCCATGCCCACCTTCACCGTCCTCGTGCCCCACTACTCCGAGAAGATCCTGCTTTCGCTCCGCGAGATCATTCGCGAGGAGGACCAGAACACGCGTGTGACGCTGCTCGAATATCTCAAGCAGCTCCACCCCGTCGAATGGGACAACTTCGTCAAGGACACCAAGATCCTCGCCGAAGAGTCGCAGGGCTTCGGCGGCAACTCGCCCTTCGGCGGCGACAGCGACGAGAAGTCGGGTACCAAGAACTCGGCCAAGGCGGACGACCTTCCCTTCTACTGCATCGGTTTCAAGTCGGCCGCGCCCGAGTATACGCTGCGAACCCGTATCTGGTCGTCGCTGCGCGCTCAGACGCTCTACCGTACCGTGTCCGGTTTCATGAACTACTCCAAGGCCATCAAGCTCCTCTACCGTGTCGAGAACCCCGAGGTGGTGCAACTGTTCGGCGGCAACACCGAGAAGCTCGAGCGCGAACTCGAGCGCATGTCGCGTCGCAAGTTCAAGTTTGTCATCTCGATGCAGCGCTACTCCAAGTTCAACAAGGAGGAGCAGGAGAACGCCGAGTTCCTGCTGCGTGCCTACCCCGACCTGCAGATCGCCTACCTCGACGAGGAGGCGCCCCGCAAGGAAGGTGGCGAGTCGCGCTGGTTCTCGGCCCTCGTCGACGGTCACTCGGAGATCCTGCCCAGCGGAAAGCGTCGCCCGAAGTTCCGCGTCGAGCTGCCCGGTAACCCGATTCTCGGTGACGGCAAGTCGGACAACCAGAACCACGCCATCATCTTCAACCGCGGCGAGTACGTCCAGCTGATCGATGCCAACCAGGACAACTACCTCGAGGAGTGCCTCAAGGTTCGCAGCGTCCTCGGCGAGTTTGAGTCCTTCAACGTCTCCAACCAGAACCCGTACGGATCCGGCCACCAGGAGTTCGCCAAGGCGCCCGTTGCGATTCTCGGTGCGCGTGAGTACATTTTCTCGGAGAACATCGGTATCCTCGGTGACGTCGCCGCCGGTAAGGAGCAGACGTTCGGTACCATGGCCGGTCGTGGTCTTGCACAGATCGGTGGTAAGCTGCATTACGGTCACCCCGATTTCCTCAACACCATCTTCATGACCACGCGCGGTGGTGTGTCCAAGGCGCAGAAGGGTCTCCACCTCAACGAGGACATCTACGCCGGCATGACTGCCTTCGGTCGAGGAGGCCGCATCAAGCACGTCGAGTACTACCAGTGTGGCAAGGGCCGTGACCTGGGTTTCGGCACGATCCTCAACTTCACCACCAAGCTCGGCAACGGAATGGGTGAGCAGATGCTGTCGCGCGAGTACTACTACCTCGGCACGCAGCTGCCCGTCGACCGCTTCCTCACGTTCTACTACGGCCATCCCGGATTCCACATCAACAACATCCTCGTCATCCTCTCGGTGCAGCTCTTCATGTTCACCATGGTCTTCATCGGCACGCTCAACTCGCAGCTGCGCGTGTGCGCCACGACCAACAGCGAGTACATTGTCGGCACCGGCGGCTGCTACTACCTCAACCCGGTCTTCCTCTGGATCAAGCGTACCATCATCAGCATCTTCCTCGTCTTCATGATCGCCTTCCTGCCGCTCTTCCTGCAGGAGCTCTCGGAGCGCGGCGCCGTCTCGGCCTTTGTCCGTCTGGCCAAGCACTTCATGAGTCTCAGTCCGATCTTCGAGGTCTTCTCCACCATGACCTACTCGCACTCGATCATCTCCAACTTGACGTTCGGCGGTGCGCGATACATTGCCACCGGCCGAGGTTTCGCCACGACGCGTCAGAGCTTCGCGCTGCTGTACAGCCGATTCGCCGGTCCTTCGATCTACTCGGGCATGCGTCTGCTGCTCTTGCTGCTCTACATTACGCTCACGCTCTGGATTCCGCACCTGATCTACTTCTGGATCAGCATCCTGGCGCTCTGCATCGCTCCCTTCCTCTTCAACCCGCACCAGTTCTCGGCCTCGGACTTCATCATCGACTACCGCGAGTTCCTGCGCTGGATGTCGCGCGGCAACAGCCGCAGCCACGCCAACTCGTGGATCGGCTACTGCCGTCTGAGCCGAACCAAGGTGACGGGTTACAAGAAGAAGCGTCTCGGTCACCCGAGCGAGAAGCTGGCGGGCGACGTGCCTCGTGCCGGCTGGAGGACGATCCTCTTCGCCGAGGTCATCTTCCCCATCTGCCTTGCCGTCATCTTTGTGGTCGCCTACGCCTTCGTCAAGAGTTTCCACCAGACCGGAGACCCGCCTCAGGGTGCGATTGTGCGCATCGCCATCATTGCGCTCGGCCCGATCGTGTGGAACGCCGCGATCCTACTGGTGCTCTTCCTGATCAGCATGTTCCTCGGCCCGGCGCTCAACAACTGCTGCGCCAAGTTCGGCTCCATCATGGCTTCGATCGCCCACGTGCTTGCCGTCATCGGCGTCATCGCCGCCTTCGAGTTCCTCTGGTTCCTCGAGCTGTGGAACGCCTCGCACGCCGTGCTCGGCATCATCGCCGTCATCGCGATCCAGCGTGCCATCTTCAAGATCCTCATCGCGCTCGTGCTCTCGCGTGAGCTCAAGCACGACGAGACGAACCGCGCCTGGTGGACGGGCCGCTGGTACGGACGCGGCCTCGGCGGCCACGCCTTCAGCCAGCCGGCACGTGAGTTTGTGGTCAAGATCATCGAGATGTCGCTCTTCTCGGCGGACTTCATCACGGCGCACATCCTGCTATTCGGCCTGTCGCTGCCGTGCCTGATCCCGTACTTTGACAAGCTGCACTCGACGGCGCTCTTCTGGCTGCGACCGTCGAAGCAGATCCACGCGCCCATCTTCTCGCTGCGCCAGCGCAAGCAGCGCAGGTCGATCGTGTGGAGGTATCTGGTGCTCTTCGTGTTTGCGTATGCGGTCTTCCTGGCGCTGATCGTGCTTCCTGCGATCTTCTCGTCGACGATCGACCTGAACTGCTCGTTCTGCAAGTCGCTCTGAGGCGGCGAAGCGAAAACGACCGCTCGCCGTCCTTCGGCCTCTGCATGGGGGGCCACGCTGGCCAGCCTGGCTGGTCGACTCGAACCTTGTCTTCTCTCCGCTCTCCTTCCCTAGAGTTCTGTAATATGTAGGCGTTCGACACACACCGACTCGTCCGAGGCGATTGCCGAATCGCGCATGCCTCGCTCGGCTTCCCTCCCCTCTTCTCTTTCTTGCTCGCTTCTCTTGCGGGCGTCCTCTGTCAAATATCGTTTTTTCTGCGCTCTTCTGCTTATCTGTTTCCTCCGCTCCTTGCCTCGAACCCTTTCTTGCCGCCTTCCCTCAACTCCTGCATCATCATACTTTGCACCAAGCATCATCAGAATGGACCATGTCTTACCAAGATTGTTCGGTGTCATTTGTGACTTGTCGTCGAGAGATTGTGCGTGAGCTTTGAGATGCCGAGGCGGGGGTCTGGCTAAGCTGCAGAGGCGAGCAGGTGTTGGACACAGGCATGGCTGGCCCGAGTCGCGTCGGACGCGCGCCAAATTTGAGGCCGTGTTGTTTGCCCGGCGCAGGCCCGCATTGGCAGGTGGCTCTAACAGGTCAATTTGGTCGCTCGCGGTGGTGGTTGTGAGTGGAGGCGAGAATGCTTGAGGCGCGTGTGGTGTTGGGGTGTTGATTTCGCCACCACGACCACCACGACCACCACCACCACCACCGCAATCAGCTTCGCCGACACCCAGCCAAGCGCCGCCTACACGATTGCTACTGCTAAGCGCTGTAGACAGTGCCACAGCCACATTCAACCCTTTCCCGCCGTACACGGTTAGCGGCAACTCGACACGCGCTGGACCCTCTTTCGGTGCGGTCATCCGACGCGTTTGCAGGGTTGCAGAGCTCTCAACAGGCGCAATCGGCATCCCTGGCGCTCGCATTTCGGCATCTTGGAGCGAAGCCCACCGGCACATTCGCCTCTAACGCCTCGGTTCGATAGTCGGTGCATTCCATCACACCGAACGAGACCAGCCCTTAATTCGATCTTACCCCCCAGGCCACTGCCAAACGCGCCTTTGCCCTGGCTCTGACCGCAGACGATCGCCATGTCTTCGTCCTCGCCACGAAAGAATCTCGACCAAGGCATCTCGGCATCACGCGCAGGCGGTGCGCAAAAACGACCGCCTGCGACAAGCAAAGCCTCGACGCCAGTCAAGAAGCAGCGCGCCAACCCTCGGCCGTCTCCGTCCGTAGGCTCCGCCTCGCGTCGCTCGGGCGACGATTCTGCGACCGACACAGCCTCGGTGGCGTCCAAGGTACGCCGACGCGTGCGCGAGGCTGGCGGCGAGGAGGAGACGAAATGGGCGCAGTCCGAGCGTCTGCTGCTGGACCGCACGTTGCGGCTGCATACGCTATCGCCATTGCATCTGTCGTCGTTGCCGGCGTCGGCGCAGGAGGTGTCGCGTCCGCTCTTCCAGCTCCTGCGCACCGAGCTGCGCAACTACATCAATCTGCGTCTGAGCGACGGCTTTGGGTTCCTCGAGTCGGGGGGCACCACGATCGACGCGCGCGATGCGGACAGCGGCGATCTGCGCCCGCCCGAGCGAAGACGGCGCGCGGATGCGGACCGCGTGGGCCGCGTGCGAATCGGCTTCATCGACGACGCCGAGTTCAACACGGCGCTGCAGCAGAAGGCTACCGCGCGTGCGTGGGCGATTGAGATCGAGCTGGGCAAGCCAGCGGAAGAGTCCGAATCGAATCGGCTGGGAGCATTGCGGTCCAAGGCGGCGCAAGAGGTGACGCCGGCAGAGCTGTGCCATATCGTGTTTGTGCCTGCGTCCAAGGGGCACGGTGGACATTCGCGCACGTCGCATTCGTATCCACTGGTCGCGACGAAAGCGCCGTCGTCGAGCGCAGCAGGTGCGGATCCGTTGATGGCGGCGGCCGAGAATGTGGCGCCGGTGGTGCTGGGACATGCGCTCGACTGGATCCAAAAGCGTTTCGACTGCCGCATTTCGGCAGCGACGAGTGCGGCTTCGCTTGCATCGCGTCTGACGGGGCCGAGGCTCGAGGCGCTCGCGGAGCTCATCGTGCGCGAGACGCGGGCAGCAACGGACGCCCTGAGCGCCGACCAAAAGGCTGCAGACGCAGCAGTCAAACCCGTCGAACTCGTGCTCTCGTTCCCGAGCAAAGTCAAGGGTGCGGAGCCAGGCGAGACTCTGCCTGGACCCGCGCCGGACCTTGGCTCGCTCACGCTCACTGTGCCGTGGGAGATCTGCATGAACTTTCTCGATGGCTTGAATCTGGGTACGTTGTCGCAGCCTTTCTCACAAAAGTTGACGACGAACGATGTGCTGACGTCTCTGCTCTTTTATCTTTCGCTGATGGTGCAGATGAACCGCTGCTGCCGGCGCTCAACCACTACCTGGCAGTGCATACATCGATACCGCTGGATGCGCTCGAGCTGACTCGCATCGGAGTCGCGGGGATCAACGTCGGATCGGGCCGAATCAAGATCGCCCGGCTGCCTGTCAGAGCTGACGACGCGGGCGAAAAGTCGCTGCACAAGCGTGCACAGCGCGCCAACGACCGAAGACGCGCGGGTTCGGTCTTCGCCTTCCTCCGCCAGGTGGTCGAAGGCGATGTGGACGAGAGCTCATGATGCTGTTGCTGCCAATATATACTTTTACTGCCATCGTGGCCTGTGAGCGATTTGTTGAACACCAACGATTGGCAGCGTGTCGTATGGCAGCGTTTGGCAGCGGCTGTGGGCCCCCCTGAGCCTCTGCCTGGCCGAGAGAGGCATTGGGCTATTTTCGTGGGCGGCCAGCGCAGCCCCGCGTGGGTGGGCCTTTGGACGGCTGCAGGCATTTGTGTGAAATTCAAGGGGGCTCGGCGCATGCACGCAACACCTCGCGACACTGTGCTGGCGCCAGGTGTGCGTGAATCGGCGAGGCAGGGCTGACATCCTCCACCCCGAGCTGCAACCGCTGGGTGCAGCCGCGTTGGCGTTTCTGACATCCGACTACCAACTGTAGGGCAAACATCATGCAGATCTACGGCCTGCTCGTTCTCGCCAGCCCTCCCGGTGCTGGCGCTGTGCCGCTCACCACCGCATGGGAGCTCGGATCGTTCTCGTGGCTCCAGCGCGGAACCGTGCAGGACATGATGGGATTCATGGCAAGGGTAAGCATCCCACATCCGTTACCCGCGATCCTCTGACTTGTGTCATCCTGACTGACACGATGTTCTTGTTTATATCGATGTGTGCTACGTTGTGGCACACGTAGACGGTAGCGGAGCGCACACAACCTACGCAGCGACAGTCGGTCCAAGAAAACTCGTACGTTGCGCACGTGCATGCGCGTCCGGCGTCGGACGGTGTTGTAGGCGTGCTGATCACCGACACCGAATACCCCGTGCGTGTAGCCTTTTCGCTGCTCAACAAGACGCTGGACGAGTTTGTGATCAAGGTGCCCAAGTCGCAGTGGGAGACGCGCGTCAACGCCATCACCACCGGCTCGGCCACGGCGCCCCCCAAGGGCGAGGCTCTGCTGGGCATCAGCGCCTTCCCGCAGTCGGTCGACTACGTCAAGAGGTACCAGGATCCGCGCCAGGCAGACACCATCATGAAGGTGCAGCAGGAACTCGACGAGACCAAGATCGTGCTCCACAAGACCATCGACTCGGTCCTCCAGCGCGGCGAGGACCTCGACAAGCTTGTGGAGAAGTCGGGAACGCTCAGCGAACAGAGCAAGATGTTCTACAAGACGGCAAAGAAGCAGAACTCGTGTTGCACCGTCATGTAGCCTGCCAGTCTTCCGCTTCGGACTCGGGCTCGATTGCGCGTTGGCTGGCTGCTTTTGCTTGCGTCGCGCACGCCTATGCTCGCATCTCGTTCACTCAGACCGCGCCAGGCAGGTGCCTCTCGCCCTTTTGTACATATTTCCGCTCTCACCCAAGTTTGACTTCTATCTGGCATCGCATGAGCACCTACATGTGGCGTGGGCTCGCCCTAGAATGGTATCGGAAGCGCCGCTCCCATTTGTCTGAGGATTGAGCTTCGGAAGGAGGACCACGAAGCAGAGACACAAAGTTAAGTCGGCGAAGCCATGCTTGGCACAATGAGCATGACGCGCGCCGAGGCGGCACAGCCCTTCAAGGGTCCACATTTGAGCCGCGTTCGGTTGCGCGCCGAAATCGACCCAAGCTTGATTTGGGCTCGCAACCTCTGGGTGTGATTGTGACCACCAACATCATAGATCCAGTCGGCAGGACCGATACGCAGCGCAGGCGCCCCCCCCTTACTCTTCTCCCTCCGCACGCCGCCAACCTGCAAGACACGCGGCAATACGGCACCGTGCAGCGACACTTTAGCACCCGGGTCAACGCCATGGCGATCTGAACACGAAGCAGGCGTGCAAGAGTGCGAACATGAGCGCCGCTCTTTCCCAGGCTGGTCTTCCGATGGAACATTCGGGAAGGCGCGAGGACATCGATGATGATGACTACCCATCGTCGGAGAGCGATGCCGAGATCGACGTTCACGCGCCGCCCGCCGAGTCGCAGCGGCTTCTGGCGGCAGACGAGGATGCGAATGCAACGCAAGACCGAGCCGGCCCATCGATACCAGCTCAAGTAGCTCGAGCACACGGCCGCAAGCGACAGACACCGCTCAAGTGGACCGAGATCATCTGGGTCTCTTGCACGCTCTCGCTCATTGCGATTCTGGGCTACTCGTCGCAGCTGTGCATCATGCTGCCGTACTACAACAAGACGCCGTCGTTCTCGGCGCAAGCACTCGCGGCGGTGCTGGTGCCGTTCAACCTGGGTCTGCTGGGCATCTTCTACAACTACTACCTGTGCGTCACCACTGATCCGGGCAGCGTGCCGCACGGGTATCAGCCCGAATGGTCGGCGCTCGAGCCCGTCTCCTCCCCGCATCACCATCCCGGCCCACACGCCGGCGCTGGCGAGATGGAGCCGTCACTCGAGCTGAAGCAGGCGATCTATCGGCCGCGGTACTGCAAGACATGCTCCGCCTACAAGCCTCCGCGTTCGCACCACTGCAAGACGTGCGAGCGCTGCGTGCTGCGTATGGACCACCACTGTCCCTGGCTTGCCAATTGTGTGGGCCACCACAATTACGCGCACTTCCTCCGGTTCCTCTTCTGCGTGGATGTGACGTGTGCGTATCATCTGTGCATGGTGTCGGCGCGCGTGCTGGATCGCTTCAACGCCTACACGTACTGGCGCGAGCCGAGCACGCGCGAACTCATCTGGCTCGTGGTCAACTATGCGCTGTGTCTGCCCGTGCTGTTGCTCGTGGGCGTCTTTAGCGCGTACCACTTCTACTGCACCGCCATCAACCAGACCACCATCGAGAGCTGGGAAAAGGACCGCACAGCCACCATGATTCGGCGCGGAAGGATTCGCAGGATCAAGTATCCGTATCATCTCGGCGTGGCGCGCAATGTGCGCTGCGTGTTGGGCGATAACGTGCTCACCTGGTGTCTACCCGGTCAGGCTGCGGGTGGGGATGGACTGAAGTTCCCCGTGGCTCCGGGGCTAGGTAAGTGGAGAAGCGGTGTGCGGGCGTGGGTAAGGTCGAGTCGGTCTTGGCACTGGCATGTGCAAACGTCGCAACAGGACGAGGTGCACTTGTCGCCCCGGCCGCACAAGCAGGTGGATGACGAGACGTACGTCGATCCCGACCTCGAGGCGAGCGTGCTGCATCGGCTGCGGTGGGAGAACTGGCATCGTCAAGCCATGCGCCATCGTTCGACGTATGCGCAGTCTCCCTGATCCGTGTACTTTCCCCCCGCGCCCTCTCTTCAATCGAACCGTGCATCCTTGCTTCGCAGTCCGAGCTTGTGCTAACATCGTCTTTCTTGCGTCCTTTAGATGAGGCGAGTCAGTACCGATGGCCACCCAAGGATCCTGCCAAGACTATCCACCACACCGCTCCGCCGGCTGTGTACGAGCAATCCTCGGGTTGGTACGGCGAACCTGCGGCGCCGCATTTGTTCCCACCCGGTGCCAGCTCCAATTCCCCCTTCACCTACGGCGATGGCTTCAATCCCGCCCTTCGACCTTCGAATCAGACCTACACCCAGAGTGAGGTCGAGTCCGATGTCGAGTCCGATGTCGAGTCGGACGTCGATGACGACCATGCAGACCAACTGCGCCGCAGAGTAGCCGTTCGTCGCGGTTCAGAAGGTTACGAAGTACGCCCCGTCGCTCAGTGGTCCATCTGATCCTCGCACGTCGCGCCAACATCATCTCATCCAACACGTCCTCACCACAAAAGCAATGCATCCTTGAATCGTTCAAGCTTCACTCCGACCAACCCCGACCAACCCATGCTTGTAGAACCGATGAGAATGCGCGCACACACACATGTTTGCGAGAAAGTCAGCCGTGTTGCAAGTGAAAAAGGCCGGGTGTGGAAGATGGTACAAGACAGAACAGCGGGTACGCCGAGCGGCGGATCTGTTCTGTTTTGGGGATGAGTGTGTCTCAGGCCAAAAAGCCCTGCAGCGAGACCATCCCCTTTTTCGAGATGTTGGGAGGGTGGGCAGGGAATGCAAAATACGACCGTGCGTGTATGTGTGTGAGAGAAGGCGGGAAACGATGCGAATTCCTTGGAGCACTTTACGCCTTCTTGCGGAAAGAGCAGCCCTCGGTCAAGCGGGCCTTACCACCGGTGGGCTGCGAGAGCACCTGGGCGCACGAGCCGCAGACAACGACGGTCTGGGCGTGCGAGAAGACGGTGGTGATGGCGAAGCAGCCGGGGCACTTGACGTCCATGAAGAACGAGTTGGGGTTCTGCACAAGTCGCTTGAGCTTGTGGCAGCGAGCCTGCTGCTCGGTCGAGGGGTTGAGGAGGTCAACGGCGAGAGTCTGAGCGAGATGAGGGCAATTGCCATGGTCAGTGTGAATTTCGGCGAGACAAGAGGAGTCGCGCATCGCAGCAGAATGAGAGTGGTCGCCCGCATGGCGCAGAGATGGCAGACGCAGTGGACGGCAGTGGCGGCATGCGACCGACTGAGTGTCCGCCGAGAGTGGATGACCGATTTCTGGTGTGAAGCTGCGATTGAGAGCAGGAGTATTCCGGGTGGCAAAACTCAGCAACATTGAGCCGGTGGCGTGGCTGGTGGTCTAAAAGGAAGCCATAACTGTCGTGTGGCGCCACAGGAGTATTTGGCCATTGAAAAGCGGGTGGCAATCTTGCATGACTGCGAAGGCGATGTCGATGCCACCGGAGCAGTCCGAGAAGCTGACGACGTTCACACGGAAGAGAGTCTGTGTGGCGTCCTGCAGAGGTACGCCACCCGCTCTGATACCTTGTCCATGACCAATGCGTCGACGTTTGAGCACTATCGTAGGCTACGGATCATGCGAGGACAAGTGCAAGGCTGGCGAGTCCTCGAACCATTGAAAAGCAACCATGCCAAGGAGTGGCAACAATCGACTTTGGCTGGTCTCAGTCCGGTCTACGTGCGTGTCGAATGCAAGATGCAATGCGAGAGTGGCGGCGGGCTGCGAACTGGTGTTGAACGGCGGCGTAGATCGTGTCGATTTGTGGCATGTACAGACTGTTGGCAACCGTCGGACGAATCATGCTGTTTGCCATGCTGGAGATGAATCTGCAACTGTTTGGCGCTGGTTTTCCGAGATGGTGCTGTTCGACCTGGCGGCGTGCGTGCTGGACGACGTTCATTCTGCTGCGATGCGAAACGTGTGGCGAGGATGCGAGATATCTTACCATCTTGAAGTGTGATGAGGATGTGAGTGTGGTACTGGGGAGAAGGAAGGAGGATAGTTGGTGGCGGGCGTCGACAAGGCCTGGCCTGGCGTGGGTCGCGGTCGCCTGCCTCGGCGGGTGCGTAGACTCTGCCTGCGCGCTGCCTCAGCAAGGGCGCGCCAGAGTCGACAGCCCTGAGTTGGCTCTCTCGATTTCACTCTCTGGCTCACCGTGCGGCTATCGCCGTCTGCTGCCTCAGAAAGGCGACCAGGCTTGGCCAGCTCAGCCTCTGCGCTCTCGGTCGCCACTCTCAAGTTCGAAACTGAGACGGCTGAGTTTTGGTTGAGACTGGCCTGCAAGCCTGTCCGTGTGTCGAGCGGTGACACTCAGCTGCAAATGGGCTTGCAGGCCGCGGTGGCTAAGTCTCAGCGGCTGGGGATAGGCAGAAGCAGAGTCACTTTTGAATTTTCGAAATTCTCCCGGGCGATGCTGCGACTGCGCGCAAGAAATTGAGCCTGACGAGCCAAGGTTGGTACTCACACGTGATCTGGTCGACCTCGGCCGAGGATGCTTGTATCCAGACTCGGATTCAAATTTGGCGAGGAGGTTCAAAGAGCTGGCATTACAGTCACCGCAGAGTGCTGAGATGCCGCAATCCAACCCTTGTTTTGCGAGCCAAAGACAGCTGCAGGCCCTTTTGGCGCGCGCGAGATGGAGACGGCAGCAGCAAGGCAGTACACCAGCCAGCGAGGTGTGACGAGGCAGCAGACCATGGGGGCAGTGTGCTCCAGTGCCTCTTTGTCGCGCTTTCGAAAATTTGGCGCTAGGCAGCGGCAGTAGCACGGCAGGCTCCAGGCTGACTGCGCAAAAGACTCAAAGCAGCAGCCAGCCGCGAGGCTCAGCAGCCAAAGTGACTTGCTCTCCAGTCTTTTCCGGCCCCAGGCAGCAGTGTGCCATTTCCACCCCAGCCAGAGTGTGAGCGTGGCCAGCCAGACTTGGAGGCCTCGTCGTCATCTCCCTCCCTCCTCTCGTCTCCATCATCCGACCTCCTCAAGTCCTAACGAAGTAAGTGCGGCACCATCGACCCTTGCAAGCCCTACTGCTACTCTCGACACATCGCAAAAAGGTACGACATTCAGCTACCAAAGCATCAGCGCCCTACACGCCACCGCCCTCCAGCCCAGCATTCCAGCAGCATACGCAATCGCAGCTTCGACGACAAAATTTCGGTCGCATCTCCATCAGCAGCTCCAATGCATCGCTGCATATTCATCACTCTGTGTCGAACGAGGCACTGCCGCTTGGCTCCGTGCTGGTCTCGTCACGAACGCTATCTTTTAGTCTCGAAGTAGTAGCACGTAACGACACGCTCTGCAACAGGGCCAGCAGTGTCAACGGCATGGACCTTGCGATGAAGCATTGTCGATTGTCGCAATGCGCACCGTGACCCATCGGTCCCGGTCAACCACACCAGAGTGCCACATCGTCTCTGCTCCAGCAGACAGCACAGTGGCAGATGCTCGAAGGGATCCGTCTTGTGCATTTACACATGCGACATCTTCCGCCTCGTCTGCATTTGCTTCCAATCAACTATCTCGGTATCCGTTCGCCGCGAATGCTCGACATCGACTTGTGCCAGCTTTGATCGACGCTCGACGTATCCCTTCCGAATCCTCAGCTCAGCTCGTACCGCAGTCGATCCTTCAGCTCTCCCGCCTCAACACCTTGCAGCTGGTCAGAGTAGCACGGGCTTGACTTGGACACCCCTCTTTCGTCGCAACGTGTGCAAGCTGACTGACCTCCTCCCGCTATTCACCTTGATTGCCCCTTCACCAGTCTTCAAGATGGTCAACCTCAGAACACAGAAGCGCCTCGCGGCCTCGGTCCTTGGATGCGGTAAGCGCAAGGTCTGGCTCGACCCCGCCGAGCAGAACGACATTGGCAACGCCAACTCGCGTGCCAACATCCGCAAGCTCATCCGCGACGGCCAGATCATCCGCAAGCCCGTCGTCGGCGGCTCGCGATCGCGTGCCCGCGCCACCGCCGCCGCCAAGCGTGCCGGCCGTGGTACCGGACAGGGTCACCGCAAGGGTTCGTCGGAGGCCCGCATGCCCACCAAGGTCATGTGGATGCGCCGCCAGCGTGTCCTACGCCGTCTGCTGCGCAAGTACCGCGAGTCGGGCAAGATCGACAAGCACCTCTACCACGAGCTCTACCTCAAGTCCAAGGGTAACGTGTTCAAGAACAAGCGTGTCCTCATGGAGCACATCCACAAGGCCAAGGCCGAGGCTGCCCGATCCAAGCACCTTGCCGACCAGATGGAGGCCCGCCGTATGCGCAACAAGGCCATGCGCGAGCGCCGTGCTCAGCGTGTGCTCGAGAAGCGTGCTGCCATCATCGCCGTCGAGAACGAGGCCGAGGAGAAGAAGTAAGCTGGTTCAGCACGCCCGTCGCTGTTCCCGCCTGCATTTTCTCTCTTGTCCTGCCCTTTCCTCTCCGGCCGCAACACTCTTTCTCGCCATGCCATATTAGCCCTCACCTCCCCTCCTCTCGCACAGTGCGCGAGTTCCGAGATCTGCCTTGCCGGCATGTCGGGCTCTCTCGTCGTGCATCCACAACCCGCCTATGCATTTGCTCGTCGCCTTCGTCGCGGCGATTGCATCTTCCTTGTGTTACATCACGCACCCCTGGCCTTGGTGGTTGATTCCCACCTCTGGTCCCACGACTCCTCCACTGACGATACTATCCAATCCCCCCTACATATCGGCCTGGAAGTCGTACAAAAAAGCAATCGCATCTGCACATTGACCCAGCCGGAAGTCTGCCATTCAGAGCGTGAGTAGAGTGGCGCGAAGCGTGAAGTGTGAGATGCTCAGTAGACGTGGGCTTGACTGCCGTGTTGATGCTCGAGTGGGTTACAGGGTGGTGCCGGGCGCGTCCGGGCAGCCTGCTCTGAGGACATCGAACGTACAGTGTGCGGCGAGGTAGAGGGAAGCAGCTTGTCCTGAGGTCCGGGGTGTTTTGGTATGAAGGGATGGTGGAGGGTGGTCTGAGCACGCCCTCGCGTGGGGGCTTGACGTATTGAGTCTAAACGCTCAATGCGAAGGTTTGCTTCCTTGCGACCATCTAGCAACTTGTGGCCGTGGACTAGCGATGCCGTTTGCGTACCTTCGCAAGCAGCGGGAATCCGCTTCTCTGCACGGGAACCCTGCACCACGCGGAGTGTCGCTTGGCAAGGCGGTTCGGATCGCACTGGTGGCGGTAGTGCTGGTGCCGTTGGCGCTGTGGCTTCCGTGGCTGCACTCGGCACTTGGACCTTCTGGTCTGCCGGACCATTGGGTGCGATCCTCGCCCGGGCTGGAATCGGAATGCGGTACGGTTACGCACGATGGGGCGGCGCTATTGTACTGCGAAGACATCGAGGCGATCCCGGGCACGAGCACGGTGCTGGTTAGCTGTGACGCCAACCGGCCACGCTGGAACACCGTCATGGGACCCCTGACCGATCCTGGACCGCGAGGAACATTGTATGCATACTCGCTCAATGGCTCGAAGCAAGCAGTGCCGGTGGAGTTGACAGGCTATCCACGAGAGAAGGACTTCCACCCGCTGGGCATGTCGATGTTCACGGGAAGCAAAGGGACGAGGCTGTTTGTGGTCAACCACGCGCGCGATCGCAGTACAGTCGAAGTGTTCGACCTCGTCCTGGAGAAAGAGGGGTGGGTGGCCAAGTGGGTGCGCGATGTGGTGCATGTAGTTGCGACGCATACGCCCAACTCGATCCATGCGCTGTCATCCACCTCGTTTGTAGTCACCAACGACCACCTCTTTGCACGTCGACCCGGCCCACTCGCACACACACTTGCGCTGCTACACCATCTGTTCCTCGGTCCGTACGATGAGTGTCGCAGCGATGTACTCACATGGACGTTGCTTCAGGTTGCCAAGGTGTTGACCCACCGCGGGGTGGCTGCACGCCTTGCGCAGATCGAAACCCTCCTCGGCCTCCCGCTTGGCTGGGTATCTTTCGTTGACCTCACCACCGACGTCGATGCGCGCATCCTCGCACGAGGCATCCCCTTCGCAAACGGCATCACCCTCACGCCCGACAACAAGCTCGCGGTAGCAGCAACCACCTACCCCGGCATCTACTTCTACTCCTACTCCCCACCGCATTCCTCCTCCAGCCCACTACACTTGCACAGTAAGCTTCACCTCCCCTTCCGCGTGGATAATCTCGCTCTCTCTGTACCCCCTCGGTCTGCGGGAGACGATGCATGGGGAGGGCGGGTGTTGTTGGCAACGGGTCATCCGGCGCCTTTGAAGCTCATGGCCATGTCGCGCAATGTGACCAACCGTGCTCCGAGCTGGAGTGTAGCCATCACCCCCTTTTCGGGCGCCGACGAGTGGGAGGACAAAGCAGCCCCGCTACCAGCACACCGCTTTGTGCTCAGCCATAATCCCGCCTGGTCAGTCCGAACCCTCTTCCAATCCAACGCCTCCCCTGCCACCCCCGACCGGCAGAGCCTAGCTTCGAGCGCAAGCACGTTCTACCGCCCCTACGACCACCACCCGCATGCAGGCACCTTGCTCGTCTCCGGTCTGTACGATTCCCTCCTCCAATGCTCCAATGTCTCCACCTAAACCCCCCACCCCAGTCTCGCACACTTGACAATCACAATCCAGCGCGAGACAAGAACCATTACTACAGATTGACGAGCGAAAAAAAACAAGACAGAGCGGGCGTAAAGAACGAAAAGCAAGGCGAGCGTTGAGAAGGTCGCGCGTGCGCGAGAGCGCCAGCAACAAAGCGCGCTCATCGACGCCGGCGAGCCCAAGGAAGAAGAACAAAGATGAAGCGAAAGCAAGAAAAGTTTCCAAGGAACCCCCCCAGCCTCTAGACCAGGGAGGCGTCCAGTCGAAAGGTCAGGACGCGCGGGATGTCCAGCGTCCCGCCGCGTCCTCACCCTGTCCGACGCGGTAGCACAGACCGACTTTAGAGCGCAACGATGGCGACGACAGCTGCAGCGGCGAGCGTGGCCAGCGCCGCGACGCCGGACCTCGCACCGACGCCGGGGGCGCTGCTGGCGACGGCGGCAAAGCCGGTGGTGTTGGCGATCTTGTTGACCTGGACCACAAAGTCGTTTCCGCATTGGGACTTGGCGGCCTTGTAGATGTCGCTCTGGGGCGCGAGGATCTCGGAGGTCCTCAGACCGATGGCGTAGGGGATCGAGGTCTCGAATTTGATGTACGAGGCGAGAATGAGCTGTGTGCACTGCGAGCACAGGATGCTCTTGGGGCTGCTGGACGAGATGAAGAGGAAGGCGGCGTTGGTGTTGGGCTTGGCCGACGAGTCGGTGGCGTTGGTGAGGCCGGTGATGGTGTCGGTAGACGAGGTGGACTGCCTCTTGACGAGCTCCTCGGCATCCTCGTCATCCCACTCCTCGTCGTCGTCGTCTTCCTCCTCATCGGCATCGGCATCGAGGCTTCGGCGCGACGGGGTAGTTGCGGCGACGCGCTGGGAGGAGGCAGCCGCCTTGGCGATGGTCTTGAGGCAGTAGTCTGCGTTCTTGTCCTTTGCGCAGATGGAGTTGACGAGCGGGGTGATCATGTAGAGGTTGTCGTACATCGCCTGCACCTGGGTGTTTTTCGACTGGAGGTCGGTGTGGCAGTTTTGCCAGAACTGGTCGAGGCGTGCGCGGATGATGTTAGGGTCGCAGCCGGTATCGGCGGAGCAGAGCTCGGTGAGGGTGGAGTCGAGCTGTGTGGACGAGTCGGTGGCGTTGGACGAGTAGATGCGCGTGGCCTGGAGGAGCGGCTTGGTGCACGCGTCGAGCTGGGTGTCCGAGTTGAGCGTCGAGAGGAACGACGAGCAGGAAGCCGAGACGTTGGTGGGGATGGCCGACGCGTTGGTCGCCTGAGCAGCCACCTGGGCTGCCGAAGGCGCGAGAACGAGCAGCATGGCCGCAAGCGACGACGCAGCAGAGAAGGTGAACGACTTCATGGTGCGGATGTTGAAGAGGCACAAAAGAACGTAGCGTACGTGTAGTCGAATGCGTGTACGAAAAGACGGGGACGATTGAAGCGAATGTAGAAGGGCCGGGGGGATGAAAAGCGAGAGTGGAGTGGAGTGGGCTTGGCGCCGTGTGGGTCGGGAGGGTGAGGCAGGAAGGGGGAAGCCAGTTGCGATGGTGTTGAGGAGCAAAAGAGGATGGCCTTGAGACAATGCAACGTCGATCGCGCGCCGCTGGGGGGCAGCAGAGCCAGTGCCGCTGCCGCTGCTTGCCAGGAATGGCCACTACAGCCGAGCGCGCCTTTTGGCACGGGAGCCGCTTCATCGAGCACAGAGCCCAAAGGCGCGAGACCTGGACCCGAAAGCCTTACTTTCATCAAAGGGCCAACAGACGCGTGTCCGAGGCTGAGGCACTCGGGCAGTCCAGCCAGCAACTCGGCGAGAGGGAAGGCGAGGAGGCATTTTGGAAAATTTCCAAGCTGCAGCAGAGTGTTCAAGTGTGTGTTTTGGATTTTGCATCTCAGACGCCCCTCCCGAGCCCTCTGAGATTCTGCCAGGGTCCGAGGGCTGAGTCGGTCGATCCGCCAGCGCAGAAGAGAGGAAAGGGAGGGCTCGCATGCATGCCTGTTGCCGATCCTCTCTCTCTTTTCCCTTCCTCACCAGGCTATGGCTGGCTGCACGCCAGTGTCGTCGGGACGCCAAGGCCCTTTCTTTTGGCTCGAGTAGCAAGCGGCTGCACCCCACGTCTCCAGCATGCACCTCGATTCGATTTCGCTGCAGCCCGCTGCAGCTGCGACTCTTTCGGCCGCAACGAGTCCATCCCATCCTCACAAGCGTAGCCGGCGGCGCTGCATGACGTCCTTGGCTCACTGCTCCACCATCGTTCTGCACTAGCATACAATCAACTGCATTGCAAACCGCGCGTGGTCTTCTGCAGTAACGTACAACGGCGCGCACTGATAGCTGGCCGACATGTCTGCATGTGGCAAGCGGTGACTGCCAAAGATGTGACAGCGGTGCGCAGGCATAGAACAAACTGTTGCCAAGCGAGGAGCGGCCGAATCCCCCGTCGGCTGGATCAGCTCCTGGTGCTTTGCGCCCTAGTCTGGCCGTCTGCTACTTGATCGTGAGAGTTTCTTCCATCAACGGGGGGCGGCGCCTTGTGCGTGGCGTCGTTGATCAGACCGGAGCGATACAAGCAACCACCCGGAGGTCGAGCCAAGTTGCGGATATAGGCATGACTTGCAGGAGCAGGAGATGCGGTTGAGCCACCGCGATGATAGTCGGGCCTGCGACTTGCTGGATGTCCATGGCAGCACGACTAGTGGACATCGACAGTGAGCTCCTTTTCCAGGATGAACTTGCCCTCCTTGTACTTTTCCGCCGCCACGTACGCCTTGTCGTACTTCCAGCCGAGCGTGAGCTTGCACTTTGCGCAGCTGATGTCGCGCACCGTGTGCAGGCCCGTGGTCATGTGGCGGTCCTCGGCGTCGCCCAGGCTGATGTTGGCCACCGAATCAAACAGGTACGCACGGCCGTGCTGGCCGTTGAACGCGCGGCTCACCAGATTCTCGATGGTGGTCAGGTGCGTCTTGCACTCTTTGCATCCAAAGATGCGCTGGCTGCACAGGTACTGCTTGTGCGTCATGCCCATCTTGCCCAGAATACCCTCGGTGCGCGGTAGCAAGGCGCGACAGCGAGCAGCAAGGGTGGCCTGACGATCAAGGCGGCTACAAAGCTGGAGCAGCGGCCGAGGTTGGCCGGTTCGGTCAAGTGCGATGCGGTGTGATCGAGTGAGTCGTTAGAGAGAGGTTGGGTGGGTTGGGAGCTGGACGTCAAGACGAGGATGAGATCAGCCGACAAGACAGACGGCCAAGATCAAGTCGCAGCGCCTCAGCTGCGGCACCAAGGCTTTGCGTGATGTGGAGCTTGTGCGTCGGCTCAGCCGAGTCTAAAGCGGCACTTTGCTCCTCGGGCTCGTGCTCGTGACTACTGTATCTCTTCCACTCGCAACGCAAGCCCCTCTGCCCTGCTCTTCCCCTCCGCTCTTCCCACACGCATCGCACTCTCCAGAGTGGCTGTGACATAGCCTCGCCAGTGCTTTCCACTCGAGCCTTCCAAGTGACGAATGGCGGTTGGCTGACCAGCTGGAGATTGCGGCGGCTCCATGCACTCTCGCACAGCTCACTCAGGGTCCTCCTGCAGCCTTTTTTTTGGTGGGAGAGAGCGCGCGGCGGGATCGGGACTCAGCCACGCCGTTGGTAAAGATTGGGCCGCTCAGACCACATCCGCGCCTGCCGAAAAAGTGGAGTGTCTCCAGCCGGCCGAAAATGGCAAGTCAACAGCAACTCGGCTCTCGGAGAGAAAAAGAAGGCGGTCTCCACTCGGCACACCGTCTGGAAAAGATTGGGTTCAACGACCAAAGGCTTCCATCCTTGCTTTGGCACACACACCCACTCAAGGTGCGCACTCTCTAGCTATGGCTGCAGCACATCCGCTCACAGCGCTTGCGCCGTCCCTGCGCCTGCTCGGTGTAGCGGTGGCGGGACCTGCCGCGGCATCAGGTCGGCTCGCATACTCAGCATCCGCCTCCACGTGCGGCTTGCGCGCCCTGCACAGCTCGAGCAAGAGGCGCCAATCCAAGGGCAAATCCAGCTCAGACGATCTCAAGGCATCAAAGGCGGCTTTCACGCAGCGACAGATCTTGGACGAGCTTCGTGCCAACTCGTCGTCGTCGTCGTCGTCATCGTCGTCTGCGCTGCAGTCCAAGCCTCGAGTGCGCATCAATGCGACGGCCGAGGCGGCGCTCGATGCGGCATCCGGATCGCGCGGTGGTGGAATACCTCTCGGAATGGCAGGACTCTCAGTGGGAGGGGGCGGGTTCGGATCGGAACCTACGCTGATCGATCGAGCTACTGGCCAGGGCAAGCCGTGGTCGCAGCTCAAGACGGGCCAGAAAGTGGCGCGTGCGACGGTGCAGTCGTCGCGCACCATGCTCATCCTCGGCGGAGGCGCACTCACGTTTGTGCTCGTATACGCGCTCACCAGCGAGCTCTTCGCCAAGAACAGCCCGACGGTCATCTACGCCGATGCGTGCAAGCGCGTGCAGACGAGCGCCGAGATCGCGAGCCACCTGCTCACGCCGTACCGCTTCCGCACCTCGCCCACCGCCACGGGCAGCAGCGACTTTTCGCCGCTCAATCCGCCGTCGGTCAAGGACAGAAGGAGGTCGCGCTCGGTGCCCAGCGTGAGCTTCACCGACGAACGCACGCGCGAGGAAAAGATGCTGCTGCGCTTTTGGATCAGTGCGCGCGACAAGACCGAGGAATGGTCGTGGTGGGACTCGGCGCGCTACGAGGTGGTCGAGGCTGGCAAGTGGGTCGGCCGCAAGGTCACCGAGGGCGGCGAGTGGGTGGGCGAGCAGCTTGGACTTGACCTCGGAGCGGATGAAGACGAACACCATCACTCAGAGCCTTCCACCGCGATCGCTTCAGCCACAACGAAGACCAGCGCAGCGGCATCGGATAATGTCTTGACTCGTACGTGGAATTCGGCCTTGGGCGGACTCGGCAATGTGGTGCGAAGCTCAACCGAGGCGATCACGTCGACGCTCGTCTCGCCTTCATCGGCC